TTCACGAAAAGCGACCTTAATTTCATTGCCACGCACAGAAAGTCTTAATTGAACTGTATGATTGAATCGTATTATTATTGCAGAAGTTGGTTTGACGAAGTGAAGAATCGGTGCAAATCGTTTTAAGGGACTGTTTTGATCTTCAAGAAGCCGTAAAGAAATATGTATATTGATTCATGATCTGTACTGTCTAAATCTAAATAATAGAATTAGAAATATTGGATGGATCTTGAAGACGAGAGAAACTTGAAGATTTTGTATTTCCGAAATAACGTTTGAACGCTAGAAAAAATATCAGTTTTGCGCCTAATATCCCGAAGTATAAGAGATCGTTAATGAAGCCAGACCTAATAACTCTAATGAGCTGCTGAAATCTGAACAGACCATCAAAGGGAACTTGTAAAAAATATGCGGCCAGACATTAAAGCGTAATATTATATCGTCACAATTCTATTTAAAAGGGAGTCTTTGGGAAATTTTGCCTAACATGCCTTATAGTTCAGTCCTTGCCACACCCGGCTATCATTTATTTCGTTCAGAACAGAGTATTCGAAATCTTCTTGAAATGTTCTTGTCCTTGAAAGCTGGGCAGTTATTCTAGTCGACTACAGTCAACTATGGTCGACTAGTAAACTCTGGACGCCAATAGTTCCCTCAAGTCGACTATTGTTAACTCTCTTGGCTACAGTCTACTCTAGACGAGTCTAGTAAACCATAATCAACTCTACTTAACTAAAGTCAACAAAAGCCAAATCTAGTCAAATATAGAGGCTTGTACTTAGATATCTCAGGTGTTGTTACGATTCTTCTTCGTAAAGACAGACATAATGTTTTTCCGTGAAAGACATTTAGTCTTTTAGTTGCCCACGATCCCTAGGTATCATGGCAAAGTTTAACCCAAATCCTATATAAATAAACCTAGACTGATTAATTTATGAGATAACGAAAATAAACAAATTCTAAAATAACAGAAATTAGAATGAAGTCACTGGGTGTATGTTGAAGACATGTTGGCTAAACCATACTACACGTCTAAGAAAATGAGTTGTGTCTTCAAAGCCCCTTAAAATATATACAGTTTTATTTTATGAATGATGCAAATTTTAGATTAAAATGTAAAAGTACTTGAAAATATATCAAAATGGTATATTATTGAAAAGCACTATATTTTTCATTGACATTTAAAAAAGTTACAACAATTTTCAATAAACAAAGTCCTCGAAACATAAACAATTTCAAATCAACACAACCCAAACTAATATTTCTTCTCTACTACCCTTAGAATCTACAAATCCACATCGAAAAAAAAAAACAAAAAAGAAAAGAAAATCAAGAAAAATATTATGGGAAACAGGAAAAAATCAGGATAACATGTGCTTTTTGAGAGAGCCAGAGCAATGAGTCCTGACAAAAAAGGATGAATGAATTCATCAGAGCAAATAATTTCTCTTTTTTTCCACTACAAATTCGAATACCAAAGAAAAGCACAAAATTAAAGAGAAAGAGAGAAGCAAAATATACAAATAGAGAGTGTAGAAACACGAAAATAAATACAACAACAAAATAAGAAAAAATAAACAGGACAACGGACGTACATAAACAACAAACATAACAACTAGGATTTATGCGGAGATAAAAACCAAGAGAGACACAATTTTAACACAGTGACAATGTTTTTGAAAAGAGAGTGCTGGTGATAATAATATTATGTTGAAATAACTGTTGTTGTTGTTATTTTAGCTGTAGTTGAGTTGATAATAAATCTAATGAGAATTCTAAGTGCTTAAACACTAAAAGCTGTAAATAAAGCGCTGCTGAAGTTGGCAGCGTCGTTGTGATGCTGTTGCTGCTTTTGTAGAAAATGCTGTTTGGAACAGAGCCAAACATGAAAAGGTTATAAAAGGAAGAAGTTGGGTGTAGAAAAGAAAATTTAAATGTGTATAGAAATAAACAACAAATTTATGTTTTGTTTGTATAGTGTTATTATTTTTATTTTTTCATCTTACATTTTCTTTTACATTTCTGCTTGAGATTTTTAAGAGAAAATACTAAAAGAAGCTTTAAGACATTATCTTTAAGTTACGTTTTTTTTTTTTTTTGCAAACAAATTTTTTAAAACAGCTGAATTTATTACAGTTTTTATAAAAGAACACAAAAAAAGTGTGAAGAATAAAAAAAGTTTATTAAAAAGCGTTTGTTGTAAATAAGGACCTTTTTGAAGTTTGAAAGAAAAAAACAAAGAAAAGGAAATAAACATAAAATACCAGAAAAGGAATTGAACAACAAAAACATTAATTTATAAAAAAAACAACAACAACAACTGAAATTCATATTATGGTATAACAAAAACAAAATAGAATAGAGAATAAAGCAACACACGCCCTTTTTGTTTAAGATTATTTCGAATAATATTGTGATTATTCTGAAAGTACACAAATTGGAATAGTGATTTATTGGGAAATAAAGATTAGAATTAAATAAACTACAGGACCGGCATGATCCAAAAAAAGTCGTTTCGAGAAAAATGGTTTTGAATGTAGTAAATGAGCAATATGTATAATTCGGTATTGTTGTTTCCCAGTCGACTGTAGGGGACTCTAGTCCAATATAGTCAAATTATAAACAAGTCCTGATAAGTGTAATCCAAACTAGTTGACAAATGCTAATTCTGTAGGCAACTTTAATCGACTACATATAACTCTAGTCGACTATAGTTAGCTCAAATCGACTATTGATAACTATAATAAAGTCCAGACCACTATACGACTACGAGTACCATAGGTAGGTTAGAAGTTATCGTTAATCAGACCAGATATCGTGGGTTAAAATAACTAAATTGACTGTAGTAAACCTCAGGCATCTAACTTCAAGTCTTATCGACTATAATCTGCTTTAGGTAACTATTTGCAACTCTAACTGACTATAGCCAATTCTTGTAAACTGTGTCAATAGTACTTTCTCGCAAGCAGATTTGTAAGGCAGAGATATGTTGTTACTTGTTATGAAAGATTGCATGATTTTTATATGGGATTCCTCGCGTAGAGATTCTGCTTAAGGAATCCATGAACCTGATCTAACTGCTATACACCATGTTACGACACAGATCGAAAAGGATCTGGCAGCTAAACAAATATCTCCTTGTGCGTTTATAGACATACAAAGAGCCTTCGTCATACGACGCTATAGAACAGGAAGGCGTACTATTGCCATTGCACATTAGACGCTACTTATCTACAGTCTACTTGAAAAACTCCATGACTAATGCTTATGGATACGAAGACGATCTTGTCATATCCGTAACAGGATTCAACGACTCAACAATATCGGAACAGATGCAAGAAGCGATTAATCTAACATCCAAATACCCCAAAAACCCATATTGTACCTTTTACAATGTGTAGATCTCTGAAAGTCATTAAGCTAACATTAAACGGTTCGACAATTAAGTTTTCCGAAGAAGTTAAATACCTAGTTATTATTCTTAACAAGACCCTTAATTTTAATTCACATACTTATATATATCTAGTACTATCAACAAAGCCATCAAAGTATTATATGCCTATCAATGGCTATTATGGGGTCTCAAGACGAAAATGATATTCTGGACATTTGATAATAATAATAATAAACCCATATTGACCTACGCCGCTTTAGCTTGATGGCAAAAAGAGGAACAGATCACAACTCGGGCTTGTCTGGAAAAGATTTTTTTTGTGTCTTTATAACTGAATCTATGGGAATCTCTCACACATATGCTATGGACGCTATATATCACATTTAAACACTGTATATCCTTATCAAGGACGAAGCTTGCAGATCAGCAATTCGCCTACAAGGCGACTTGGTTGCATGGAGGGCGCTCATCGCCAATTTATTGGTCCTGAGCCCTTCTTTGGTATACCCCGAGGATATGCCAAAGCGAAATCTGACTCTTGGGTAAATTCTGAATTCGTTCGCCATTATAACACTGTTAAAGGAAAAATTCCAAAAGCTACTAGCACTAAATAAAAACGATCTTAGAGTACTAACTGGATTACTTACAGGACACTGTGGTCGTATATACTATCAATTCATTATAGGTAACTCTATAACGAATCGATGCAGATGACCTATGACCTGCAAGAAGAACGGGGTGCGAAAAAGCTCCAAACTCGGGTCGCAATGGTTTGTGTCCCTTCGATCTAATCTAAGCTAAAGGAATTCAAAGTGTCCCTTCGATCTAATCTAAGCTAAAGGAATTCAAACTGTGCATATTTCATATTGTTGACTATAGTCATCACTATAGTAAACTCTTGCGGATTCTTCAAAAGTCTCTTATAGACTCTCTAGTCGTTTCTAGTTTAATCTCTAGTCGAATATGATTGATTAAACCCAGGAAAAAAGATCGAAATACTTTCAAAATAATTACATATTTTACCACTTCAAAATGAACACTAATAATTTTATTCAGCTTCTGTAGAAGTGCTGTTTAATTACTTCCAAAGAAGCGAAAATAATTATATTTTTTCACAACTAAAGATATATTTTTTAGTATTGACATTTTTATACCCTACACCGCTTTAGTGGGGAGGGTAGTATGCGTTTGTGCTGATGTTTATAACACCCAAAAATATTGGTCCAACACCCATCTTAAAGTATAACATTCAGCTCAAAATCACATTCAGACTATGTCCGTCCATCCGTCTGTCCGTCCGTCCGTCTGTCTGCCTGTGTGTCCATGAAACTTTCTGCGCGTCTTTTGACCCAAGGACGCAGCCTATTGAAAATGGTTGAAATCGGTCTATTATTTCGCCTAGCCCCCATACAATCGTACCCCTCGAATAGGGCTTTTGAGATTATAATTATGTTATATGCTTAGAATCTCTACGAAATTCAACAAATCTTAATTTTATATAAGTTTCAATGGTACTGCCGGTTTTTGTAAAGATAGGGCCTCGTTTGACCTTAGCTCCCATACAAAGTGTAAAAAATAATAATAAAAAGTTTCAGCAAAAACTCACCTTAAATTATATTATATTATTTTAGTTGAATTTTTGCTGCGGTTGTTGTTGTTATCAAAATTATGATTTTTGCTGTTTTTGCATTTACATATACTGTTTCGGTTTATTTTGAGGAGAAGAAGAAAATTGAACACTTAATATTTCAGCTTTTTTTATAATTTTATACCATGAATTATTAATATTTATAATATATTTTTTTTTGTATTTAAAAATTTGATTTATTTTTAAATTTTTTTGTAATATTTTAATTTTTTATTTAATAACTATTCATTAAAAAATGTTATTATTTTAATTTATTTTTTTATTATTAATTAAGAGAACACAACACATTCGTATTCAAACAGTGGCCACTTTACACCAATTGTTTTCTTATATTTTCGGTTAATTTTTGAGCTTTATTTTGAAGTTTTATTTTATCAATTGCTGTTAAAATGGTTTTTGTATTAGTTTTTATTTTTTACAAACGCTGCAAAGATAATAAAAATTATTTATTTTTTAATATTATTTTTTTATACAAATTATTTTAATTTCATTATTATGATTTCTATTTAGTAACTTATGACATGTTAACACCTCGCTTGTAAATATTCAACTAAATTGAAATTTATTTCGAAATTAACATTCTAAATATTTGTATTCATCTGGGTTTTAAGTAAAAAAAAAATCCAATAAAAGTAATAAACAAATAATAAATTAAATGAAGTAAAATAGAATATGGTGATTTTATTTTGCATAATCTCGTAAGTAAGTGAGTGATAGTGTGAGCATAAGTGACGACCTATCACACATCTTAACACCTACCGAGCCATCATAAACATACACATACTCATACACTCCTCTCCTGCACTCTCCTCGGTATATTTTAGTGTTGATTTTATTATTGCAAAGTAGCCGTACAAGCCACTCATACACACACAATTATAATTTACACAGTAGTGGTCACTATTACGATGTATATCTGAAAAGTTGTTTTTTATATCAAAAGAGGTAAACATATTTTTCGACAGCCACTAATCAATTAATGCGATATCGGCCGATGAGGTTTAATCTAAGAACGTATTAAAAGAGCGATAACCGAATACTCTTCAAGTGGTAAGTTCTGCATCATATAAGCACCAGTCCACTCGGGAATAATCGGTAATGAAAGTAAAGTGAAGAACTTGAAAAAGTTATTCTAACAAATCAAAAAAAAAAACATGGCCGAAAGAATCCCAATATAGAATAATGAAACGTTAGGTAAGGTCTAGTCTATAGTCTAGTCTATAGTCTAGTCTATAGTCTAGTCTATAGTCTAGTCTATAGTCTAGTCTATAGTCTAGTCTATAGTCTAGTCTATAGTCTAGTCTATAGTCTAGTCTATAGTCTAGTCTATAGTCTAGTCTATAGTCTAGTCTATAGTCTAGTCTATAGTCTAGTCTATAGTCTAGTCTATAGTCTAGTCTGTAGTTTAGTCTATAGTCTAGTCTATAGTCTAGTCTATAGTCTAGTCTATAGTCTAGTCTATAGTCTAGTCTATAGTCTAGTCTATAGTCTAGTCTATAGTCTAGTCTATAGTCTAGTCTATAGTCTAGTCTATAGTCTAGTCTATAGTCTAGTCTATAGTCTAGTCTATAGTCTAGCCTATAGTCTAGTCTATAGTCTAGTCTATAGTCTAGTCTATAGTCTAGTCTATAGTCTAGTCTATAGTCTAGTCTATAGTCTAGTCTAGTCTAGTCTATAGTCTAGTCTATAGTCTAGTCTATAGTCTAGTCTATAGTCTAGTCTATAGTCTAGTCTATAGTCTAGTCTATAGTCTAGTCTATAGTCTAGTCTATAGTCTAGTCTATAGTCTAGTCTATAGTCTAGTCTATAGTCTACTCTCCTCGGTATATTTTAGTGTTGATTTTATTATTGCAAAGTAGCCGTACAAGCCACTCATACACACACAATTATAATTTACACAGTAGTGGTCACTATTACGATGTATATCTGAAAAGTTGTTTTTTATATCAAAAGAGGTAAACATATTTTTCGACAGCCACTAATCAATTAATGCGATATCGGCCGATGAGGTTTAATCTAAGAACGTATTAAAAGAGCGATAACCGAATACTCTTCAAGTGGTAAGTTCTGCATCATATAAGCACCAGTCCACTCGGGAATAATCGGTAATGAAAGTAAAGTGAAGAACTTGAAAAAGTTATTCTAACAAATCAAAAAAAAAACATGGCCGAAAGAATCCCAATATAGAATAATGAAACGTTAGGTAAGGTCCTATCACAAGGAACTTAAGTGATCGATAAGTGTTTAAACGAATATATGTATCTAGCTACAATCTAAGACAAGATACTTTAATAAAATCTGGACGAATTCACAGATTTTTCAATGAATCTTAAAATTATTTTTAGTCTGCCCAGATGTTATAGTAATAGTAGCACAGATTTTAAAGTAACAGCCATAGTAAGTAGTCGATCTCAATCAAAGTCATACAATACTGACATCCATAATAGAGTACAAGTGAATGATTTAAATTGTTGTTGTGCTGGTTTGTTTCTGTTATTGTATTTGCGTAAGTCAATAACTTTCGCCACAAACAGACGCATGAAATGTCAGAAAAATTCAAATATGTATAATTTTATGTTTTTTTCTCATTTATTCTTCGTTTAAATTTGTTGTTCTAGCTCTTGCCACACGTTTCATTTATCGCATTCTATTTGAAGATTTTTTACTGTTTGTGAATGATGAAAATCTTGTTTATCGCCAGCCAAAAGAAAACAATTACCTATGAAGCAAAAAAGAAGTAGAATGTATAACAGGGAAGTACTGGAAAAGAGCATCCCATGGCTTTGATGCTCTTTCCCAGGTAAACACAATAATTTTTAAATTCAGAGAAGAGAAAGGAAGCATTTTGCAACAGGAACGATCGATGCGTCATTATTAACTAACTAACTAACTAAAAACTAACTAACGAACTAACTAACTAACCT